TTCGAGACGAGTTGAAAGAGCTTTCCCGAAAACGTAAGTCGGTCACTATACAAAATTATAAATATTTATACTTTTAAAATTAAAACTGATTGAAATGAGCCTGGATCTATGATATATTATGTATTGATATATATATATATATATATATAGAGAGAGAGAGAGAGAGAGATAGAGAGAGAGAGGGCTATTCCTGTCCGGAACTTCCAGACAGGAGCCCCGTCCGGCCTCCTCCATTTTGGGGCCTTGCCGGTGGTATTTTTTTCTCAAATGTTTTTTGTATGTTCCTCATCAAGTCTAGTTCATCCATAATAAATTTCAGCAAACAATTCAATCGGGAAGATCGTCAAATGATTTTTTCAAGTTAACTAGTCCGAAATATGTATTTTCCGGACCAGTTAACTTGCAAAAATGATTTGACGACCTTCCCGATTGAATTGTTTGCTCAAATTTGGTATGGATAAACTAGACTTGATGAGGAACATACACAAAAAATTTGAGAAAAAAAAATACCACCGGGAAGGCCCCCAAATGGAGGAGGCCGGACGGGGTTCCTGTCCGGAAATTCCTGACAGGAATATTTGTGTATATGTGTGTGTGTGTGTGTTGGTCTGCTTTAGGTTATCATCGAGGTTCGGGTATGTTTTTCCAGATTATCATCATGTTTTCGATCTGACCGGCCTCTTTATGCTTCCAATATAATAGTCATTATACTTTAGTTTACATTATTTATTTCTTATATTAACTGTAGGATTGACATTCTATCAAGAAGTATCAGAATGGTGAAGAATTGCACATAATCATTCCAGGATTCATGTTCAAGAAGTAATAGAATGTTGTAGAATCCAGATTAACAGGAATATTCCTGTCCGGAATTTCCGGACAGGAACCCCCGTCCGGCCTCCTACATTTGGGGGCCTTCCCGGTGGTATTTTTTGCTCAAATGTTTTGTGTATGTTCCCCATCAAGTCTAGTTCATCCATACCAAATTTCAGGAAAAAAAATTCAATCGGGATGGTCGTCAAATGATTTTTGCAAGTTAACTGGTCCGGAATATGTTAACTTGCAAAAATCATTTGTATTTTTCGGACCAGTTAACTTGCAAAAATCATTTGATGACCTTCCCAATTGAATTTTTTGCTGAAATTTGGTATGAATGAACTAGACTTGATGAGGAACATACACAAAATATTTGAGAAAAAATACCACCGGGAAGGCCCCCAAAAGGAGGAGGCCAGACGGCGCTCCGGTCAGGAAATTCCTGACCGGAAGATTACTCTCCAGATTAATTTAGTAGCTGATGTATAGATATTTTATTGTACTCCGTAGTAAGGATCAATGTTTTATTAAGTGTAGGCATGTTGCTTTTTTACATTGTTTTTATGTTTCGTGTATGTGGTCGTGGTTTTATTACTCCGTATTATTCATTTAAAAAGAAGTTAAGAAAACTCATCAAATAAATTTTGACTTCGAAATGATAAACAAGTTGTCATGTCATTAAAAGTCACGCTTGTTATGAAAATTGAATATGCAACGTTCCTTCAAAAGATATACAGGGCATTGGTGGCACTTCTGTAGGGGAAAGCGCCGGGCTTTCATTGTTTTCCCCAAGGTGCTTATTATGTTAAAACGCCTCTAAATGTTGTTTTGCGGCACTTAAATTCCAGGCGCTTGGAAGCGCCGCACGAGCAACATTTTAAGCTCCTCAAATGCCACTTTTTCCACTAGTGTTCTAAGCTTTGTTTTTTGAGTATGTAGCCATTGCAAGGTAAGGAATGACGTAGCAAACCTTGTAATCCCACATGTAAGCAATTCCATCTTGTTGGTGAACTTTCTCATCATGTTAAGAACAATGGTATGGTTATAGATGAAGTCATGAAACTCACTACACAAATACCTTTTCTTATTGTTGTTTTCATTGTGGACAACTTCACGATGTTCTCAAGCATTAAGTCTACGCAATGGGCAGCACATGGAGTCCAAAATAAATGATTTCTCTTCACTTGTAGCAGTTTTTTTAACACAGAAATCACTTAAAGCAGCTAGGACAAGATAGTCACATAAATGAAATTCAGAAATTTAAATTTTAAATAAAGTAATGTTGAAGTAATTGAACTAATAAATATTTCCCGCAAGAACATAGTTACTTCCATTGTCGGTGATTACTTGCACCACATTTTCTTCCGCAATTATCTCAACAAATTGATCAAGAAGCTCAAATAATTTCTCAGTAGTTTTTGTGTATTTAGAACCATAAACACTCTTCACAAACATTGACCCCCTTGGGCAGTTCACCAAAAAAATAATCAATGCTCTGTTTTTCCTATCTGTTCATCCATCGGACATAATTTAGCATCTATATTATGCACTTCAATTCTTTAAAAGTCCATTAGTGTACTTCAATTCTTTTTTGAGAAGTGTAACTCTACACTCATAATAGCTTGGGGGGCTTTAAATGACCATAATTTCCAATGGCCTCAACCATCAATTTGAAACTTTTTGATTTTGCAACATTAAAAGCGATTACATTTGTGCATAGAGATCTTTCAATACATTGAATGGTTCTGGCCCTAGCTTCCTTGTCACAAGCATCATTTATGCTTGTTTGCCTCAGCTTTTCCCAAGCTTATTGTTTTTTTCCTGGTTTCTTATAATAAAGCAAGTCTAAAGGCCCTTTGGCCTTTTTTGGCAGGAAGATGAGAGGCCTCAGTTGCTGATGTTAGGGGCCTTTTTCCTCTTCTGATATTACGAATTTCATTAAGTTCTTCCATTTCATCACCGTCTTCTAACAACTCCATGTAGGCTTCTTTTTTCCTTTTTTCTTCTCATATGCTTCTTTCAAAAAAGTTGTGACAACAACTGGCGTTTTCCTGCAAGCACCGACATCTCCTCTTATTCCCATTTGGTGCCTTTTGGTTCTGGTAATTCCTCCAGTAGTAGTTTTGTCACAAAAAACACAAGTAACAGTCTTCTTGCCTTTTGCACCTTTCACAATGTTCCACTTCCAAGCCGGGTCAATGTGTTCTCTTGTGGGCTTAAACATGACAGCAGACTGATTAATCTCCAGGCCATACGAAAAGAAAAAAAAAAGACGGCAGGTCTGCAGCAAAGGTTGGAGAAGAAAATGTTGCAGCAGAAGATACTACTGAGAAGAATGAAGAGGCCGGGAGGGCAACATGTGTTGTTCTTGGATTAAAGCCATCACGAAGCAGAAACAGAGTATTGTCAAAACCTAGAGCATTCTTGGAGAAGAAGTCATCGCAGAGCATCAACAGAGTATTTTAAAAAACTGGAGCCGTTTTGAGCTTTTACGTACGGGTAACGGGTTTTAAGCCGATTAATATTTTGTTTTCAAAGTCTATTTTACCCCTTCTACCTCTGTGTTAAAAAAATTAAAACGCAAAAAACCCTAGCAGAATGTGCCATTGTCGTTTACCGCAAAACTCGCCGCCATTACGGCCGCCTCTACCTTCTCTCTACCACCGCTATAGCGGCCGCCCTATCCGCTACACCCAAACGCCACGCTACAGCCCTCCTTGTAGCGCCGACCATGTCTGCCACTCCACACCACCGCTATAGCGCACTATTAACATCAGTGTCATGAACCCAATGGGGCCACATACTCGCCGCATGGCCACAAAATGGACGCTCGGTCCCCGAAATGTAGCGGGCGGTCCGATCCCCATCCTTTGCACTATACGACAATGCTCAGCTTCGCTCTCCCCAATACAGGTGGCAAACCCAATTACATGTGAAGAGATGCATTAAATGTAAGATATGGGCATAACAAGTGGATGACAAGATAGTTCGACCTATCGGAGGAAGACACGTCACTTTCGCCCATATTGCCCAAGTAATATAAATACCTCCAAACTTATTATGGAAAAAAGGGTAGCTAAAATAGCATTGAATAGAGTTTACTCTCTCATGTTATAACCAATATTGTAGCCATCATTATATATATTAGCCTTGTTTCATAGATTGTTCTTGAGTGTATTGTTACAGTTCCAAGATAATACGAACCTAACAGATCTTCTCGTGTTTCATACTTCTTTCTACAATAGCCACATATATATTTGAAAATCTGAATTGGTCACCCGCCAAAGACACTCTATTGGGCCTTTGGGATGAGGAAATTAACCTGAACAAATACCCATCCCGTAATATTTTGTAAATGAAATATGATTATGAGTGTTAGAACTCGTTAAGATCTTTTCAACGAGATATAAAACACTAGAAGTGAAAGAACATATAACAAGATATGATCAAATCAAATACTTAGCCTATTCGTAGTAATTTCGGCAATGTTTTTTAAGTTTCAGTATAATACATGCCTCTCATTTAATATTTTAAATTATAAATTTAGTCAAAATTGAATTTTAGAACTCTATAAGAAGTTTTCAGTGAGATATAAAACGCTTGAATAGCAAGATATGATTGAATCAAATACTTAACTTGTTCGGAGTAAACTCGGAAATGTTTTGAATTTCAGTGTAATAGGTACCTATCCTTTAATACGGAGTATTTCATATTCAGAAATTACATTAAAAACTTTACAAAGTCATGAAAACCAGAATCAGTTTTGATAAAAATTTGATTTATAAAGTAAGAGATTAAGAGTCGTTTGTGTTGACCAAGTGAATATGAAACATATCTTACAAATTGAGACTGAGAGAGTATTTTTTTATCTTGGGATCGGAGTACGATGAAATAAAGAAAAATGACTCGATCACTTAACTGTCTGTGTTTCTTTGTTATAAACCAAATGGCAATCCTTTCGATTTTTTGCGCAATTATATTTTTATTACGAGTCATCAGAAAACAATCTCTATATTTTAATATAAGGATAAGGCTACGTACATCTGATCCCTTACTCCACCGTAGATGGTAACCTTTGCGGCATTGGGTAACGATGATGATTGATGATGATTTTTTATTTATTTTATTTATAATTTTTTTTAGTACTGTATTATCTTTCATAATCAACCAATTTAGATAGTTGTTTCAGTTATAAGTTATAACTTTGTCCCTAATTACTCCGTATATTTCCATAACAATACACCTCTTAATTCTTAAACAAAATAATTACTTCCTCAGCTAGGATAAAGAAATACTCCAGAATATACGGAGTATATAATTAACAAAAGTAATCCATGTTGGTGATATTTACTAGCTGTCCCAACGGTGAACGCGTATAGAGCGAGTCTAGCGGCCAGGAAGTTTAAATATTTGCAGAAAGATCTTTATATCTCCATATGATTCATGTTTCTCTTCATTTCACTCTACCACCTCAGCACTCAATAAATAAAATCACTTTCTCCTTCCTCCGCACTCTCAAAAACACTCTTTCACCAGCTCATTCCCACACATTCCTGGCCTCGTCGGAGATAGGCGGCGCGGCGCGGCGTCGTCAGCCTGACTGAACCCTCTCCGGTGGTGATCTGATTAATGTAGGGTGAGTTTTGTACGTGGATTTTCGTAAATAAAATGCATGCATGGAGCCTTTGTGCGAGTATTGTGGAGTGGTGAGGGCAGTCGTGTATTGTAGATCGGATTCCGCCCGCCTCTGCCTCCACTGCGACGGCTGCGTCCACTCCGTCAACGGCCTGGCGCGGCGACACCAGCGATCTCTGGTCTGCGACCGATGTAATTCCGAGCCGGCGACGATTAGGTGCATGGACGACGACATTTGCATTTGTGCTTCCTGTGACTGGGGCTGCTCCGCCCAGGGCCACCGCTGTAAGGGTTTGTTTCCGTACACCGGATGCCCTTCTCCGGCGGACTTCACCACCATGTGGTCTTCCGTTCTTGAATCTTTGCCTGACGATCATCAGCACCCAAATATTAATAACAATATCACTAATGAGAATTACATTAATACTACTATTACTACAACTAATAATAATATTAGTGGTATTGACAATAATAATGTTAATTCGGCTACCTGCTTGGCGGCCGAATTGAATAATAGTAATGGTAATAGTAATCAGGGATTTGTGGCTAGTCGACTCAACGAGTTGGCCACATGTCTGAAGTTCGATCCAACGCAGCCGTGGGTCGATCCTTCACAGCCGCATCATGACACTGCATCCTTCACGACGTTTGGTAGCAGAGACGAAATGCCCTTCACCGCAGGCGGTGCCGTCGAACCCAATAGCCTAAACAAGGTTCTTCTAATGCAATTGCTATTTTTATTTAAGTGCTTTCTCCGTCCCACTCAACATTGCAATTTTAGTATTCACATGTTTAAGAGAAGTGAATTTCTTTTTACTCTATATTTTGAGTATCAATTTTGTGTCGAATACTTATTATGCGCTTTAGTTAAAAAAATTGTGTTGTTTGGTAAGGGGCAGAGCTAAGGGAGGGACAACCTAGGCTCTGGTCCATCCCAAATTTAAAAAATGTCTTTCTTATTTGGGTTTTTTACAAGAATATTACTAAAATAAAACTTATTTACAGAAATATGTCTATTCATTACTACAACGTAGTGTTGTGGTAACTTAAGTTCAAAACTTGAACATGAATTACTATGATTTCATTACTACTCTAGTAACTAGTCATATTTTTGTAAATCATCTTTATTTAAATCATATTTATGTAATTATTTCTTATTTTTAGAGTAAAGATTCTGTGTAAACTGGCCCAGTCTAGTGTCCTGGCTCCGCCCTAGTTTGGTAACATCAAACTTTTAAATATTGATAGTAATATAGATAGTTTAGGGGAAGAGCTAGCTTCATGTTTAGTGAAGCATAGTAAACTGAAATTGACAAAGTTGTATGGGATGGTGGTTGTGATTGATTGAATTCTTGCTTTGATTTTGGGGTTATTTTTGTTCTTCTAATTTGGTGGGGTTTTTTATAGAGTTGTGACAATTCAAGGAGTACTCTAGGGCTTAGTGAAGGTTGTGGTATTTGCCAGAGCGTAAGGAGGGGCACTGAAGAAGACGTTCCATTGAGTTTCAATGGGTATGATGAGATGTTTAGCCAATGTCAGCCAAGATTTAATGGAGACGATGGAGGACTGGCTGCTTGCCTGCAGGCAATGGATAATACCTTCTCAGGCACTGAATCTAGCAGCCATCTTGTAAGTGGCCCATCTCTTCTTTCCATTAATGCATGCAATGGACAGTGGCGGATCTAGAAAATTTGGTTATTGGGGGCAAAATGTATAGGACATAAACGTTTATTGAAAGCTCTATTTATATAACTTAAACTTTAAGTCCATAGGCATAAATCTCCATCTTCTAGATTTTGTACTACTTAAAAAGTATTTAAAAGTTTCTAGTTGTATGTTTGGCATGCCAATTTTATGAGAAAAAGGTTTTAGCTTTTAGCATTAATTAGTACTAACAACTTGTATACCAAACTAAACTAAGGATGTTTTCTTTTGGACTTAAATTTGCTGGTCTGGTCTGGTCTGAACAGGTCTAGTCTGATAAACGTCTGGTCTCTGTGTATTTTATAACTATGGAAGTCAGGTCTGGTCTGATCTGGGACTGAAAACAGTCCAAAAGAAAACATCCTAAATCAAACTGTCAGTTTTTTTATCAAACAACTACATTACTTTTTCTTTTTTGAATCTTTTCAGTCATTAAAAGTCAACAGTTATTGAAAAGCACATAAAAGTATCTTTTCAACTAACTGTGTCAAACATACCCTAAATTATTTTTACATAACAAGAACCTATCAATCTTAACTTTTTTATACTCCATAATTTTTAAGTATTTCATTATCAATTGCACCTGTTTTGTACCTTATGACTATATTTTGTGAATTTACTTTTATCATTACCAACTATTTTATCCTAAATAATACTCCCTCCGTTCTGTAATATTAGTCATCTTAGACTTTGGCACGGGTTTTAAGAAGAAAGTAGTAGGGGTAGTGTAAAAGGTGTAATGAGTAGTGGGTAAATGAAAAAGTAGGAAAGAGAAAGGGGTAATGGTAATAAAAGTTGGGGTATAAAGGTATATTTAGAGTAAAAACTTTCCTTAAATGGAAAGGAGGACAGATAAAAAAAACGTCCCAAAAAGGAAAGGACTAATAAAAAAGAACGGAGGTAGTATAAATTATCATTGAATCCATCTACAACAACAATATTTTTATTTTATTATTTTAGTCAAGACTAATAGTTACGGAGTAGTACTTAATAGCACTAAAATCCTTATTTAGAAAGTATATACAATAGTTTTGATATATAACGCATGAATATTAGGTTAATAAAAAAATCCTATTCCAATATTAAGTTTTAATTATCCATTTTTGTTGATTTAGCACACTTTCGATCATCTATATCATAAAATAATTACTAATGGGGGCAAGAACAAAAATTTAATGGGAGCAAATTATTTGAATAAAATTGCATAAACTACTATACTTCATACTTCTAGTGTATTTCTAAAACCTTATTGGGGGCATGTGCCCCCACTCCTATAGGCATACATCCGCCCCTGGCAATGGATAATACCTTAGCTTCCCACATTTGTTACTCTATCTTTGTAATTTCATCTTACATTTTCCATTCTTCCACTAAATTTGTTCCTTCTGTGTGGTTATATCTATTTATACTTTACAAATTAAAGTTGAAACAAGAACATGCATGACTTTATTTTCTAAATACCCGTCTCAGTGATTCATGATTTCATGTCCCAAAAATACTGAGAAGGTTGTATAAATGTGCATCTAATTAACTCAATTAGTATTTGACTTTTGAGAGGTTTCCATACCAAATTGCAAGTCTAAACTGATAATGCCTTACAAAATAAAGTATGTAAAATTACCCCCCCCCCCCCCCCCCCCCCCCCCAAGGTTGAGAGATTAAGCCGATAAGGTTTTGATAGGTAGGGCTGAACTTATGACACATCTCATTTACAAGTTCACTTACTTCACAACCTCAGTTACCTTTATAGCTAGGTACTATAGATGGTTTCTTATGCGTGGGGATAGCTAGACCCCTTGATGGAATGATTGCTATGTGACACTATTAGTATGCCTTTACAACGTTTCTCAATGGGGCGTAGTTCACCTGATAGTAAGGGAGTGTCACAAGAGTGTCCTGAGTTCTGAGTTTAACTCCAAACAATGACTTGGGATAAAACTAACTCTACTCTCTTTCCTTCAGAGTGAGATCAAAGTTCAATTTACATCTTCCAAAATAAAAGTCCATTCGATTCTGGGGGCCTCGAAAATGGAGTGTCATCCTTTTTTACAACATTCTCCAATATTTCAAGAATGATATTAGTATCTTCTTTCACTTTTGATAGTTCTACTTCTATAAATATATTTCTCCCTATCCATTTGGAAACTATTAAAATGACGCTCCAATGGACAAGTGCATTGCACTTCCGCATCAGCAAATGCATTATTAAGGGGTGTTTGGAATTGATTCTGCTTCTACTTCTTTTCTAAAAGTAGTAGCAAAATTAGAATCAGTTTTTAGAAGTTAGTCTTTCTTAGCTTCTAAAAAAACTGGTTATAGGAGCAATGTAGAATACCTAGAAGTACTTCTACACTTTCCCCAAACACTTCAATATCTGATTTACTTTATGAAGTAGAATCAGTTTCAAGAAATAGATCCAAACGCCTCCTAAAATAGAAATTTACTCTCCAATGCAAAACAAAATGAATGCATATTACCTGAGTTATCATCTGGAAATATGGAACAAGGTCTAGGAGGAGGTCCATATTATTGGGACCTTGCATGACACTTTCTTACACATCATTCGGCCACCCATCTCCTTTACCCTTTTGTTTGATGGACTTTGTAGTCTGTTAGACTGTTATAGTATATGTTCAATGTTTAATGCCGACATCCTTCACTGGAATATGCTTTGAACTCGTGACCTCCTATTTGGGAGTGTCATAGTTATATCATCGAACCACATGGTGTTTGGTTTTTCCCTTCTTTATTTTGTTTTCTTTTCTTGTTTTGTTTTATTGCATTGGAGTTGTGTTCAAATAGACCCTCCATTTTTCTAAACTCTTGGCCCACATTTGAAATAGAACTTCTCCATTATTTTGCCATGTCATCATCAAAGCATTACAATATTGGAGATGCTCTTACTCGTTTACTTTTTTCTAATATCTTTTTATCTATTATATAGATAGTATCTCCTACTAGTAACTCTTTTCTAACATCTTTTTATCTATTATATATCTCCTACTATTTCCATCTATTCTACTATTTGCTATGAGTATGTGATTTTAGTCTTAGATTTTGTGAAAGGGTGCAATCAAATATTAATTGAAGAAGTGTGTTTTAAAGATACTACATTTGTTCCTTAAAGAACTTCCTGAATTGAATAACATGCACTTTAATGAAATTAATTAATTTTTCTTAACTGACTTTTTGAAATGTTCTTTTTACTTGGGGTATTATAATTTACTTCAAATAGGAATAAAACATATACAAAGTGAACAAATAAGGATGTTTTTACTTGGACTGAAATTTTCTGATCTAGTCTGGTTTAGTTTGAACTGGTATGATATGATAAATGGTTGGTCTCTGTGTATTGTATAATTGATCATGTTTGGTCCGATCTAGTCTGGTCTGATCATGTCTGGTCCGAGACTGAAAAAAGTCTAACTAAAAACATCCTAAGAGTAATTATGTTTCATTCACAAAATAGACTAACTTGATCTTATATAGTGTATAAAACTTCCCCAAATAGGTGTGAATATGTCTTGTTTTAGAATCAAAACAGTGATAGTGTTATTTGTACATTTATCTGTTTTTTATTTAAGAAATTTTGTGGAAATATTACTTACATCCTCTAATTGAAGCTTGATCATGGTTTTTATTTGTAGACTTCGTCCTCAGGGAAGCCGCTAGAACGCCGCATGAGTTTAGATTCCTTGCATAATATGGGCGGTTCCTCCATAACCAGTATGTTACCCAACATGGGCGTCATCCCCCGCATGAATACTAACTGCGGCATCCTCATGAACCCTAATTGCATAAAAAACAACATTGGCTTAGTAGGGTTCCCGCCGCCGACCGGGCAAGTCCTTTCCGGCGGCGGCATGTCCATGGCTCTTTCCAACGTCACCGGAGACAGCTGCGTGGCGGATTATCAAGACTGCGGCTTGTCGCCGGCGCTTCTTAACGCCGAACCCAAATGGGAGTCCAACTTTGAAGTCACATGCAGCCCACAGGCACGTGACAAGGCCAAGATGAGATACAACGAGAAGAAGAAAACAAGAACGTAAGTACATTAACAATGTTTTTAATTTTGGATGATCGACAAAGTAAGGAGGCTTAAATAGATCAAACTATACTAGATCATACTAGATTTTGACCGTCCTAAAATACACATTGAACAAGCAAACTTAAACAGACTTGACCGGATCTGAAAATCAGAGTCGAATTAAAAACATTTCGTTTCATTGACCAATATACTTCGTATATAAGAGTTTGACCGACTTTGAGAGTCGCAAAATATGCATTGAACAGACACTTACAAAACCAGTTCATACAAGACGAGATTTATAGAGACTTGATCAGATTAGAACATTATAGTCCAATTAAAAACATTTCATTTCATTGACCTATATGGCTATATATATACTCCCTCCGGTTTTTAATAAACTTCACACTTTCCTTTTTGGGACGGTCTAAAATAAACTTCACACTTCCTTATTTCCTTTTTTGGTAAAGAAATCTATATCAAAACAGTGCCAAACAGTGTCTCAACAGTGCCAAACAGTGTCTCAACAGTGCCAAACAGTGTCAAACAGTGTCTCAACAGTGTACTCTACAGTAAAGTCAAATTTCTTTCCTTATTTTGTGTGAAGTCAAAGTGTGAAGATTAAATAAAACCGGAGGGAGTATATATATATATATATATATATATATATATATATATATATAGAGAGAGAGAGAGAGAGAGAGAAGGCTGTTCGAGTCAGAGGAGGCCTGACCGGACAGCCCCGTGCGGCCTTCCCCGTTTGAGGGCCTTTCCGGTGGAATTTTTTGATGAATTTTTTTTTAGCATGTTCCTCATCAAGTCTGGTTTATTCATACCAAATTTCAGCTCAAAATTCGACCAGGAAGGTAGTCAAATAAATTCTTGAAACATAGTGCACTTTATATATGCGCAGAATGCCAGTATGTTTCAAGAATTTATTTGACTGCCTTCCCGATCGAATTTTGAGCTGAAATTTGGTATGGATAAACTAAACTTGATGAGGAACATGTTCAAAAATTTTCATCAAAAAATTACACCGGGAAGGCCCTCAAACGGGGACGGCCGCACGGGGCTGTCCGGTCAGGCCTCCTGACTCGAACAGCCCTCTATATATATATATATATATATATATATATATATATATATATATATATATATATATATAGGACTTTGACCAACTTCTATGAATTCATGGTAATAAAATGACATACTTCTTGCTTGTGGTACGCAGGTTTGGGAAGCAAATAAGATATGCATCACGGAAAGCCAGAGCTGATACAAGAAAGCGTGTAAAGGGTAGATTTGTTAAAGCTGGCCAAGAGTTTGATTTTGACCCCCAAAAACAATAGCTAAAGGATATTTATTCTGATCGATCTGTTCGTTATTGATTTATTTAAGGTACGCATATTTGGGTGAATCTAAATAAAATAATATTCCGTACATAGTATTATTCCCTTTGTCCCCCAAAAAAGATTGTAAAAATAAAGTTTTGTTCATGTCATCTTTCGCTCTCTTAATCATGCCCCTAAATCTCAAAAGAAAATTAAATTCTCCGTATAATTTCTTGATTAGCATGTAGCTCAAATGATGAACCTCAGTTTTTAATAATTCTATTCAAGAATTATTACATGTAGAAGTGTAGAACCATGTCCATTTGCAATAAAAGTCATGCTTAACCAAAGTACAATTACAATTCTTTAATTAGCGAAAGACAGCTTCTATGACTAGTTAATACTACCTTTCATTGTGATTTATTTGCAATACTGTTAACTGACTTTGAGTATCTATATATTCAACCATCTAATCAAAATTGAGACAAAATTGAGTAATGTTTTCTTGATAGGTTTTTTTAATTGATGAAATGCAAACAATAGATCATGTCAATAGTAAAAAATTGATCTGCTACAACTATTAATGAGCAAATCTAATACTAGATCTATATCACATTTTCGAAATTAGCATTTGAATATGATTGCATATTTGGGTATTCCTCAGAATTATAATAACTTAGTTAAAAAAAAGTACGCATGACATTTATTTTCGGGCATCCAAATATAAAATATTGACAGATTTTAGTGTGAGGGAAGTATAATATAAGAAAAAAATAAACTCCAAGTTAACAAAGTCTGAGTAAGAAATTTCAAATTTGAGCTATCATACTGTGATTGAGGAAGTGATGTCTATGATTCCTTTTGGTAAATTACAAGACAACTTAGCTTCATTTGACCATAAATGACTATTTTAGGACCCAAATTTGTTTGAAGCGTGACTACATTTTTAAAATTTACCCATAAAAAGAAGTATGGACCAAGTTCATAAGTATGACTCTTACTATAAAAGTAAGAGAAACGTTGTCCTAAAAAATTAAAAGCAATTAAAACTTGTTTCAACTTTCAAGAGTGTATTTGTCTAATTTTTTATACCACGTGAAGTATAAATAATTACAACCTCCATTCCACCTAAAACTCCAGGCACACCTCTGGTCCAATTATCGTGCCCACAGTAAACGCTAGGTAGACAAGTGCGAAGTCGAAGTTTTGGGATGTAAAACGGACCTCGCCAGAATGTAATTTTAAATCAGCATATTGAAATTATTGTTTGTCAAATAACATCAAAAGATTTGGTTGTAGAAGATGGAATGTCTATGAAAAAGCATTCATAGTTAAATTTAAATCTACATATTTCAATAAACCTTGTAGTGTAATTTCTGAATATGTAGATTTTAACCTCATAGACTCTCTCTCTCTCACATGCGTGCGCGCACACACAAACACACACACATTACTGTAAAAGTTAATTTAAGTGTTAGTCGGCCATCATGAACCTCATAGAGAACTTTGAACTGGAATGAATGAAATACTATATATGACTTATGAGTTCATTAGTAACTATAAACTTTGGACTAATTATGATTATAAGTATTGCTTTTGAACTAATGATGATATGGTTTGTATTGTATTATTACAGGCCTTACATGGGCATTATTGCTTTCAATCAAGGGTGTAAATATGGTTTTGTTGGAGGACCTGGCTTCACCATTTGTTCGACTATGTTGGCTTCTCATGGGTAAATTAAATACCCATATGCTTGATCACAGCTACACCGAATTGTTATTCAATTCATGCCAATAAGCAGTGCCATTGAGTTTCATGCATGATGATGAAGGCCGCTACATGAATTCTCCACATATACATATATGCCCATTCAGTCCTACTATCAAATATAACTGCTCATCTTTATTCAACTACTCGTATATGTTACATTTTGAAGGGGGAGACACTTCATGAAGAAATATATACCTTATACATACAGAAAATATCGATATTCAATAATATAGATCGGTTTCTTACTATTTTAATTCATTCCGGGTATAATTGGGATATTATACATTTATGTTTTCCTGTGATGAATACAAATAATTCAACCCATATACATAGGAGGTATTTCCTTCTATGTATCAATGGAATTGTGGATTGAGGTATTCTTTTTTATTTTCTACGGAGTAGTATTTATGGAATGATGATGGGGGAGAATGTGGTCTGAATGTAATTTATCGTTAATAAATTGCTTAACCGTCTCTTTGAATCCTTTCTCGTATATGATAATCAATAACTAAAGAAATTGCTGAGTATGCGTTTCTTGACGCTTGTGTATGAGGAAAAGTATAGCACTTTGTGCAGTTTGGAGTTAATTGTATTTAGTTAATTTCTTGGATTTAGATATTATAGTCCAATCTACGAGATTAATAAATGCACCAAATCTATGGAATGAGGAAGTGACTAAAGTTATTTTCTCACTTTTATTCATAAATCTTAATTTTACACTCCTTGATTGTTTACTTTATTATTTCATGTATAATAAGGATGTTTTCTTTTGGACTGAAATTTGCTGGTCTGGTCTGGTCTGGTCTGGTCTGGTAAACGTCTGGTCTCTGTGTATTTTATAACTACGGAAGTCTGGTCTGGTCTGGTCTGGTCTGTTTAAGTCTGGTCTGGTCTGGTCTGTTTAAGTCTGGTCTGGTCTGGTCTGGTCTGTTTAAGTCTGGTCTGGTCTGGTCTGGGACTGAAAACAGTCCAAAAGAAAACATCCTAACTTAGTTTTGGTCAATTTTTATAAAATGGGATAAATCAAAACAAGTTTAAAAACAATACTCCCTTCATCCGATAAAACTTGACTAATTTTCTTTTTTTAGTTGTCACAAAAATCTTTCATACTCCCTGTATTTTAATGTTGGTTGCACTTTCATTTTTAGGATATATTTAAAAGTTTGTTATACTTTCATTTTTGATAAGTTTGGATGTTTTCTTTTGGGCTGAAATTTGCTGGTCTGGTCTGGCCTGGTCTGGTCTGGTAAACGTCTGGTCTCTGTGTATTTTATAACTACGGAAGTCTAGTCTGGTCTGGTCTGTTTAAGTCTGGTCTGGTCTGGTCTGGTCTGGGACTGAAAACAGTCCAAAAGAAAACATTTTTTATCCTTTAGAAAATACTCAATTACTCTTGCTTTTTTTATTTTTTATTTTCTCTTTCATACTTTTACATTATATCCTACTTTTTTATACTATTCACTACCCCTAATGCTTTACTCCTAAAATAATGTGTCAAACCTAATGTAACATTCTTAGAGTCCGTTTGACAATACTGTTTTTCGGCTTATCAGCCAATTTTTTCACCAAACACGTAATTTTTGCTTTCACACGCTGAATTGTGTAATAAACAGAAAGAGTAAGGTTGAAGTTACTTTTCTGGCTGTATTGGCTAAAGTTACTGTAGATGACCATTTTAACTATTTTTACATATATTTTTTTCTTTATTTTATTAATAAAATATATTTTAATTTTTTTCTTAAATCAACTGAAGCAGCCGATGCAGTCACTTCAGCCAGAACTTCATAAATTTCAGCAGAATCAGCCAAAACAGCCGATTTTGGTGCTACCAAACGGGCTCATAAAGATATGGAGGGAGTATTTCTTTTTAAAGTAGCTAGTGAATATGTGATTAAAATAGTTTTTCGCTCTTCTACACAGATCTCAATTACATTATTTTTTATTTTAATATTTTACATGTAAGTCAATACAAAAAAAACATTTTATACATGATTTACAGACGTGCACGTTTTTACATTTGTCTATGAATACTAGTTTTTTATTTGTGCATAGTATTTTCACAAACAAAAAATAGTGTTAATAGACAAGTATAAAAACGTGTATGTGTGTAAATGGTGTAGAAAAAAAAAAACGTCCGAACTGTGAGAGGGGACCCGTTCTGATGGGGACTTGGCAATTGAAAAAACGTCATCAGAAATTCATGATACAACAAACGCATGCGAGAGAGGAAGTTTTTTTTATCAGAGAAAGAGGAAATGGGAGTTCCAATGAACGAAAAGGCCAAACATGTACGTCTGCATATGTCAAGTTAAGGCTCAGCAATGAATGTGTACCGCATCACCTGATCCATGAAAAACACTGTTTTCAAAGCAAATGGTCTACGAAACCAAAACCTCCCACCTACCAATCATCATTCTTAAGGGCCTTAAACATGCATGCATTAGCTAATTAATACAGAGCCCAAAGTTCTCAATTTTCAGATTTGTATCCGTATAAACTGCAATTTACTTGAATCTTGTTATGGAATTGAACTGGTAATCATTATAAACGAAATTTCCAAAAGATTGAGTTCATAAACTATAATATATGTGATCGGATGCCATTTCCTTCTACACAAATGTAAAGCTGCCTCATTTTGTATCCCATTTTATACGCATATGTTTGTGGTTCACAAAAGCATTTTATTAATGTCTTACTATGTATTAGGTTAACCTTCATTCACTTCTTTGAATGAGTCCACCTCGATCCTTTGCTCGTCCTCAAGGGTACTCAACCCTTCTTATTCCTTAACATCTTTTGATGTTAACTCTACTACTTGCAGTTCTTCGGGGATGTTTGGATCTGATTCTTAAAACTGCTTATGCTCCTTCAGGGATCATACACAGAATTTGTTGTGTTTGGGTGAAAGTGCAGAAGTGATTCTGGTGCTATAATTTACTCCTAGAATCAGTTTTTTTAGAAGTTAGGAGAGACCAGCCTCTGAAAATTGATTCTGATTTTGCTTCTGCTTTAAAAAAAGAAAGAGAAGCAATTCCAAACACCCCTGCTTCTTCAAACCCTCTTCTTCATCACCTATTTCAATAATGGTGACTTGGACTAGAAAGCTATCGTGGAGTCGCTTCAAAAATTGATCCATATTCTCATCTTGAGGATTATATCCCCAACTTTCATTCATGTCATGGGGTCGTGATGATGTTGACCCAACGAGACACTTTTCATGTCTCAATTTAGAACCTTTTACTTACGATTATGTTAAAGACTGCTCATAATTGTGATTTAGGTCTTAACCTACAACCGTGACTTAAGAGCATCTCCAATGGGGATGTCTACTCTCTTCCACATTCTTACACACGGGTCCCATTTTTTATCTCACAAATTTTATGTGTAGGACCTACATATCTCCACATTTATTTTGTTTTTCATTTTTCTATATCACTTTTAACCCACTTTTCATCCACTTTTACTCCTCGATTCCCGTGTAAAGTCTATTTGTAGACATTGTCATACACATTGTCTACAATTTACTCCTATCTCTCTCTTCCTTTTCATTTTTTATACACACCACTTTCTCCATATTAAATTAAAATAATCATTCTATCTCTATCTCTCTCCTATGCCACGTAGGATAGACTTTACTCCAATCCACTACCCATTGGAGATGCTCTAAGGTCTTGCTATGATTTCAGAATCAACCGGTCACGATTTGAGTCAGTCTTAGGTCTAGGACCTTGTTCACCCCTAGTCGAGTGCATGGCAAATTGTGTCTATTGTGAGACTTATTCTATTACTTGAAAAATGCAACCCGACAAAACCCGGTTGTGAAAAACGAGTGTTGTTTCTCCCAATTACCTCTATCTTCATTTTCCCTCGAAAAATAATTTTTATATCCATGTCTCTCCTACATATCACAGAATAAAGGTTAACATTTCGATATGATTTCATTGAGCTGAATCGAACAATATGTAATTTGGTGTATTAAACGGAAAAACTTCAACCAAGTGAAACTGAATTGGTTTAATAAATTTAGTAAAATGAATGTGTAGTACTTGATAAGACATGGGGTTTCATAAAAGGATAAATGGATAAGTGGGCCAAACCGACTCTTAATTATGTGTGTTAAACAAGCAATCAAATCACAACTGCACTTGACTCTAATACAAAGTAAAGACATGAGATTTCATCTAAAAGGTCAACCTGATAGGAAGAATAGCATAAAGTCTTATATAACACTACAAGAAAATCGCATTTTGCCTGCGTATGATATTTGTATGCAAAGATAGTTTTTTGTAGTCTAAATTCTTTCCCGACAAAGTTAATTTGTGGACATATTTGTGGGGCAAAGCTTGAAGGGGAAGAACTTAGCCCACAAAGATTGAGACTTTGTATGGTCAAACTTAAGAAGACAAATGTTAAGCATGCAAACTAAATTTGTAGGCTTAACTTTTTTGTCACAAATATATTCATGGTGACACATTATTTGTTCGCACAAAATTTAATTGTAGGGAGAGTTGAGAGCACACAAGTACTTCTATCCACAAGCAAGATGCACGTGTGTGAGTATTAATTTGTAGGTTAAACAACACTCATGCCAACATATATATAATAATCTTTATCAATATCGTCATTCAAGCCAGATCTATACTCTCAAAGACTTGTACACAACTACACAAGTAAAATAAGATACATACATATGTTGCTAAAAAGTCAAAAAAGAGTAATGATAGCTGAATAATATTGAAACTTTTACATTGATCATAACTGTAGGAAAAAATCTAAAAATATTATTTCAACTATATATCTCCTAAACATGTACTTCTTTCAACGGCTCTTCATCAAGATGATCAATTTCAATTCAAGTTTGTGAAAAATATGTTAGTGAAGTATGTGAAGCTCCAGAAGCCGAACTATTGTTCCAAAACATTCATTTTTTGGTAACCATTGCTCTATCTCGGGTCTCAAATCTATCACTGCTCGAGGCATGTGTTTGTTTCCTTTGTCATCACATTATCTCCACTTTAGCTCCCTTTAGTTGTTGCTCTTCCATCACTCGCTCAACTCAAGTCATGGCAAATACTTTTCTAGCTAGCAGACAACCATCTACTAAGTGATTATCCATATGGAGCAGATGAGTGCTCTGAGAGTGTACAAACTGAAGTGCAAAATAGATGAGGCAACTGTATTAGGTATACAAATTGCAAAGCTTGTCAGATAACTTTAAGGTTATACCCATTCATTAATCATTACAGAACATATAGTTCATCACATAACTCGCAGGAATCATAAAGCATGCATCTTTTGAGAATATATAAATGCAAATAGACCATTGTATGTTGACATAATGCAGTCAGTCTTATTACTAAAAGTGTTTTATGCATCATTAACCTCTAGTTCTAGTTTATGTTCCATACCGTGTAATTGATTTGAGTCTTGTTTCGGTGTAGGACTTTTGTCAAACACGTTGGCTGCATTGTTTTATAGTTTTACGATGTACAACAAATACTACGTATGTTTTTAAAATTACAAATTTAAACCAACAAGATCGGACGTAAATAAAATATATCACGATTCTTATTTAGCAATCATTTTCTCAGGGGAATGGGAAAACTGTCAAATAGGTCCTCGAACTTTCATAAAAAGGACAATTAAGTCCTTCTATAGGACGTTCTGTCCGGCCGTCGCAATTTGGGGCAGTTCCCGGTGGAATTTTTTGATTTTGAGCATCTTATTCACCAAGTCTAGTTTACTCATACCAAATTTTAGCTAAAAATTCAATCGGGAACACATTCAAATTAATTCTTGAAGATAACTGCGCATTTTTGCGTTCTCGGATTAATTTAAATGCGCTCCCGATTAAGTTTTTAGCTGAAATTTGGTATGAGTAAACTAGACTTGATGAATAAGATGCTCAAAAAATTTCATCAAAAATTCCACCGGGAACCGCCCCAAATCGCGACGACCGGACAGAGTCTCCTATAGAAGGACTTAATTGACTTTTTTATGAAAGTTCGAGGACCTATTTGACAGTTTTCCCTTTTCTCAATTTGTTTTCAAACATACGAGAAAACTGAAAAAACCTAAGTAGCACGGAAACAGGAAACGGGAAACGGGAAACGCGAGAAACATAATTTATAAAAAATATAGGACACGAAACGTGGGGGAAACGCGTAAATATTATAAAATATAAGGATATATTTATAAATATTTTTTAATATATGTAAAAAAAATTCCATATGCACATGTTTTTTTAATATAATTTGTTTAGTAACCAAATAATAAAATCACTCTACATGTTCGAATTTGGATATTATTTCATATTAGTACATAATTAAACATAAAATGTACGGAGTAATACATTTCTAGCAATACATTGCGTTACGAAATGTAACAAGTGTTGCCGCTGAGAAATACCACAAAAATTCACTATAAAAAATTATTTTCCACCACAGAATCTTTTGGAAAAGAAAAAAATTGGAATCCGGGGTTTCTGAAACGTAGTGAAATGGGTTTCCAAATTTTTCTTAATAACGGAAACGGCCCTGAAACGGGAATTTGAAGTTTCCGAGTTTCTGAAACGCTTCTGAGTTTCCGAAACGTGGAAACGTGAGCCATGGAGAGTTTCCGTGCTTCCTAGGAAAAAACTTGTATGCGTACGTATCATATACTACGTACTTATTACTTCGTATTTCGTAGTCCTTAATTAATTAACGTTCTCTACTCATGCAGGATCTGTTTGGTAGGCTGAAGTTCAGGGCAACTTAAAATATTTCGATATTTTTAGTGTAAATTTTTTCACTTTTAACATTTAGCCCTTCCCGCTAATATTTAAGCCTGATATAATTCCTATTCAGCCCAAGGCTAGGCATGGACCGGGCCCGGGTCGGGCCTGATCGGGCTTTTTGGGAGATAATTGAGGCCCAGAACCGGCCCGGTTATCCACCGGGTCCAGGCTGGGCCTCGGGCCGGTTCCTTTTTTTGTTGCTTTTCTAATTAACCCCCGACCCCACTCCTCACCCCCACCCCCCAAAACACCCAGCCCAACCCGTGAAAATTAAAAAAAACGAAAAAAAAACAAACAAAAAAACCCCGAATTGGGCCTAATTTGGGTGACCCGAGCCCGCCCAACTAAACCCCCGGTCGGGCCTACCCGAACCGGTCTCTGGCGTGCCGATTCGGAGTCTGATTGTTTATGGGTGGGAACTCCACCGGATTGTATTGTGAACTTGCTTCGATTTGATTGGTAATGAGATGTTATTTGATTTTCAAAAAAAACTGCTTCTTTTTTTCGTGACAGGACACTAACCAAACACAATCACTAACCATCTTGTTATCACTAATCACTGATCTAAAAGATAGCGAGTACATATAAAGTAGTATATTCCCATGATCAAAAGTTCAACACCAATAAAAAGTCTGAAGAGCAGTGTGTCAAATGGTCAAAGGGCTCATCATGGGAAAAATCAAATGTTGAGGCACAAAAATCAAATTAAATGAGATAAAAGCTGAATAAAAATCAAGAATAAAAAAGAATCACATTAACCAGTAAACAGTGAGATTAGAATTAAATTTGGAACATGGAAAAAGTGTAGTATAACTGGTCGCATTGATAGCCAAAACATTAAACTCCGTATAAAGAAGAACCGCATGTCCGCATTGGCAATAAAAAGTAAAATTACAACTTAATTTGGAATACACAAAAAGCATATACTCATTACAATGGTAATTGTCCTTTTTCTAACCATATTTATGACTTTTAAGCCAAATATCAAGCACTAAATTTTTTATTTCACTGTGCAATAAGTAAAATTTATATTATATATATATATACTCCGTATAAGAATATAGATATTCTTCAAATTAATTCGCTAAATATGATACCTTCTAAATTTAATTATTTCATTATTCATTAAATTCATCTACAAGATCAACAATTTCAGCATATTAACTAGCTCCAGTCAAAATCAATTTCATCTAGAGCCCGTTTGGAGAACTCTGTTTTCGGCTTATCAGGCTTATCAGCCAGCTTTTTCACCAAACACGTAACTTTTACTTTCGCGCGCTGAATTGTGTAATAAGCCGAAAAAGTAAGGTTGAAGTTACTTTTCTGGCTGTATTGGCTGAAGTTACTGTAGAGGACCATTTTAGCTATTTTACATATAATTTTTTCTTTAATTTATTAATAAAATATATTTTTAAAATATTTTTTTCTTAAATCAGCAGAATCAGCCAAAACAGCCACTCCAGCCAGAATATCATAAATTTCAGCAGAATCAGCCAAAACAGCCGATTTTGGTGCTACCAAACGGGCTCCTATTATACTCCTAAAAAATGACACTATTCTTTAGAATCCTCCGGTACCGATCGGACAATAATCTATTACGCTCGCAGTGTAATACGTAGTACTCCCTCCGTATCAAATTACTTGACCCACTTTCCCTTTTTGGTGTATCAATTTAATTGACCTCTTTCCTTTTTTTGGAAAAAATCTCACTCAAAAAACAGTTACAGTACTGCTACAGTACCGCTACAGTGTCGCTACAGTACCAAAAACCTCTTACTTTTAATAAAGTCTACAGTAATTGTCTTAAACTGCGTGAAAAGCAAACGGGTCAATTAATTTGATACTGAGGGAGTACTACGTAGATTAGTGAGGTAGGATTTAAAACCTTGACCCTTTTATACAAACTTTAGATTATTAATAAAGTGTAAGACTGTTCAGTTTTAAATACCTAACGGTAAAGATTTTAACGAAATCATGGCAGGTCAACTTTCCCGCAGAGGTTAAAACTGTACCCGAGAACGAAAAACTTAAAAGTTGCTTAATTTTAAAATTAGGAAAACGGTAACTTTTCTGACTGAAATAGATCTCGAAATAATGAGGTGTTAGATTATTATTTTCAATTATTAGAGGTAATAATAGCCATCAATAAAGACGAAAATGGATAAATTGTACCCGGCCAATGATAAAGGTTGTCGTACCATTTACCATCAGAATTGGTGTAAGCGGCCATGTGAGAGTGTGGCCCTCACCCTTTCATGTCCAGCCTAAAAGAAACCAAAGAAAAGGACAAAAGAGTCCTCCAAAGTCACTTTAAATTGCATTAAAGAATCCTAGCTTTACTTTGCTTTTTCTGCACCCCTCTCCCCTTCTAGGCCCCATAAAGGGCAGTGTCTGAACAGAGAGGAGCAATCAAAAATATGGCAAGATGCAACCTTTACCCACACCCCCACCCTAAAAGATCTCACACTTGCTTTCCCTTTTAGGCCCTTTCTTTCCTGCAGTAGTTAACTCCCTCATCCACCTAATCTCTTCTTCTTGGGAAGTTTTTCTTGTGAATAAATTCACCTTTCTGCATATCAGATCTAAAGCTTGAGTTTCAGGTTCTGAACCTGCCCAGAACCACCCTGTTATTCTCTCCAAAACTAAACCAATGATCAGTTTCAGGATAGGGACTTGATCTATTCCAGGCCAGTTCCTCAAAAATAGGACCAAACCAGGCCACTTATTTCTTTTGAATCAAATCAAGAACCGGACCCGGACCTAAATCCGAACCAATACCGGAGAGCACAGTGAAAGTTCAGATTTTTCCCTTTGGGGAGGACCTGAATCACCTGAATGCATTCTTTTTAATCCAGAAGAATACACATTAGACTTAAACTCCATATAGACACTAGCGTTGACTTGAGCCAGTTTCAATCTGATTCTTTACAATTTACAAAGAGATGGGAGCAAGAGAAATCGGGGAACATTATATTTACCCAGGTAAACCGATCCAGAAAAATGAGACATGGGCCTAGTCTTTTACTCACTTGAGTTCTGGTCCAAAATCGGAACCAGTTCGACCCCTAAAAAGGATTTTCTTTTACAAGGCAGCTTAACAAGTAACTACAATTTATGCCAAAAATGAATTGGTTAGAGGAACTTTTACGGCTACTGCGGGAGTAATTAGTTATTAGTACAGTGGAGATTTACCAGGAAATTAAGCATGAGGTGGTAAAGAAGGAAATAAGAAATAAGGGTAAATATGAGGTAATAAGATTATAAGATTATAGGACAAAATATAAAGTTATACCACCACCAATACTACTACTACTAGGGCATATTAAGACTACTGGGGGTGGGGGGTAATGTTTGTTATGAGGATGATGCTATTCTTATGTGAGTGTGTGTATGTGGGGTCCAGCACACAACTACAAAAGAGGGTACAAAATAGACAAAGGGATCCTACTCCCCTTAAACCAGTTCATCTGTCCTATACATATGCATTATGTATCCTTCTTGCCGGTAATATCCTATTGATGATGAAAACATGTCTTTAAAGCGATCCTCCTTGCAGATCTTTTCTTTGTTATGGATATACAAGTCAGCTTTCTGCAAATGAATCACAAGAGGACAGGCATTAGAATAACAAATACTCCGGGTATAACAAACTGGCTGAGATGGGGTCTGCATTTGGTGACAGCAATGACTGAATGTGATTAATTATTAAAAAATGTGCTTTTACTGTACTTTTGAATTAAGTTGAAGATATGTGCTCCATAATACGGAGTAATAGTATAAACTGTTTTCAAGAAGTTAAATATGCTAAAGTTACAAACAGTCAAACAACTGATTTTTTAGAATGTAATGACTTTTAAAAAGTGGTACACCAACCAAATATGCCACTTGTTTGGTCATACGGAGAAATATTCAAAAAATGAAGATAAAAGTGAATGTTCTCTTAATTTCAGTCATTTTACTTGTAAGAAAAAAAAAATCTTGTAACCAATTGGTTAGTGCTACCTAAACAAGCATCAAGAAAACTTTATACGTTTAAAAATTATGGAACAGGTTGCAAAAGAATGATCTTACCCTGCTCAAGCCTACTGCCTACACTTCAATGGCTTCTTGTCCGGTGGTTAGCCTGATTAAGAAATTCAAAAATTTCAGCTTTCTGGATGCTAGAACTGCAACTATGAAGAAGAAAAAAAGAAGTGATGGGAAATTACTTAGGGATCTTCAGGGAACATGCTTGAAGAGAAGCCATGTTAAGAGCAGAAGTAGACGAGAGCATGGGAGGGATGTCATTGGAAGGTGTTGCTGAGGAACTATCATCTGCATCCGCTGGTGCATGCGAAGAAGCACTGTCTCCTTCCACCTTAGATTTTGCAGGGAATGCAAAAAAGCTATCTGGGAGCATGTTCTCCGTGCTGGTTTCAAAACAAACAGGACACCAAAGTGTTAGGCACCATTTGGATAAGGGAAATTCTAGGGAAAGATACTAACAAGGATATTATAGAATAAACTTGAAGAAAATGGAGGAATTTATCCTATTTTTGTTTGTTGATACTCATCTTGTTTATTCACGCCTGTCATATAGAGACTAACAAATCTAAATATATGTAAATTAAATTAACAATCATATTTAAAGGTAAAATCAAACATATGTAAATAACAATTTTTATCATTTTCCCATCTCCCTAGCATTTTCAGAGAGCCAAACATACCCTTAGGGTACATTTGGTGCTCGGAAATTGCTAGTGAAAGAAAATGAGGAATTTTGAAAGGAAAGACAATGTGTGGATAAACAAAAATGGCGCCAATGCAATATATCAAAGTATCAAACTTAGTTCTTTGTTAGAACTCTTTATTCTCGACATAAATATTATTACTGTATAAAGATTAAGAATTAAATATATGCAAAACTTTATACAGTTTTAATCAGATTTGACTTTCCTGTGTATTGTCCAAGCCTCCAAGGTAATACCAAACATAAAACAAAACATGTGGGTTAGCAATTTTTCTCCTACCTTGCTGTTTTCCTGAATTCCAAACATAGCCTCAGAGAGTAGGAAAAACTGAACAAAATACAAGAACAATTTGCCAATAATACCTCGCATTCAGTTCAAGGGCATCGAGTTTCGAGCTTTGCTCCTTGATACTATTATCATTTCCACTATCATTTTCATGGGCTTCAGTTTGCTCCCACGGAAGCTTCACATGGTGGTCAGCATTGATTTCTGGGACAAGACTGTGATGGTTTTGTGAAAGAGAACTGCTCAAAGAAGGGATTGAAATTCCAGGATATGAAGCAGGCTGGAACTGATGATAATTATGATGATTTTTCTGGTCCAAAAGCTGCATATTCATCAGTCTTCTTCCTTGAAGCTCAATGGCCTGTTGCAGCTCAGCATCTTGCTCTAGCTTTCTTCGAAGCATTGCCTCACGTGAATTATAAAACATCCTTGGTCCTGTTAAACCATTGGCAATTCAGGAACTGTTGGATACTATAGGTCTCTTTGGAACTACGAAAAAAACGCTATGGGGTGAAAATACAAGAGGGCATATTTGTAAGCAAAGAAAGTGTGGGGTAAAATAAAATGTCTACTCAAACTCAAGAAAGAATTGATATTGGTTCAATCTTGTTTTATGTAAGTATTAATTTCTACTATATAACATTATTAAATCTAACCATGTGTAAAACAAAAGTATAACAGTAATCTTATTTCATTTTCCCTTGCATTTACAAGATACAACCAAACAGAAGAAAAGAGCTTTCCTTCCCATTTTTTCCTACCCATTGTATTTTATGGAAGGAAAAAATGCTATGTATTTTCATATGTTTGGCTTTACTTTAGAAAATATAAAGGTTTAATTTTTAATGTTTTAAGCAATAGTAATATATTTATATTTTTTTAAATGAAATAAATAAATAATAATAAAATGAGTTTAAACAAACATCTAAAATAATTTTATTTTGAACAACTGCCCAAGTTTTTCCCCAATATTTCTCTTCTAATTTCACTTCATATTTTCTTCTCATTCCTTTACTTCATATTTTCCGGGATCCAAACATGCCCTGTAGCTAGCAAGAATCAAAACACACACAATTGTAACAGCATACCGAAAGGAAGGTCATGGGGCTCCAGAGAATCAAGACCAGATGGGCTTAAGCAAGATGTAAACTTCCCCCTGTCCATATGGTGCTGCTGGTGCTGCTGTTTTCTACATTACCAACCAAAAACAGAATATTATTTCTGCACAGATCATGCAAAAAAAATACAAATTAGAGAAGAATAACACAAATAAATACTTTTCTGGGATATTCCCCTTTTCCTTGTAGGGTTTCACAAGCACACGAGAGTCACAAACAAAGTGGGGATTCCCTTTGGCCAAGATCCGCTTCACAGTCTCCGGGTACACAAATGTGACAAACCCAAACATTCTCTTCTGTTGGTAAGGAATTCTCACATCTTGCACTGGACCATACAAGCTGCAAAAATTAAAAATGCAGCTTTTTAATAACCAAGATTTCAAAAACTCCACATTTAAAATAAATAAAATAATACACACCCGAAGTAATTAGAAACATCCTCTTCACTAAAGGTGCTATCTGCAGGAAATGTCAAGTATATTTGCCGCGAGCAAGAATTGGAGTATCCGGCCAAACCCATGCTGGAAAAGTCATTAACTTCTGATCGGCAACGCCCAAACTTGCGGAGCTCTTCCCCCAGCATCAATGCAGCTGGTGGAGATCTGAAATGGTAATTATCCATAAACAGAAATTTCAAATTCAAAACACAGGCCTTATTTAGCTTGATGATCAGAGAAACATTTCAGGCAGACAGGATCTAAAAGGAGAGCCATAAAAACACAGATAGTAAATAATCTGGAAAGCCAAATTAGGAATGGTTGCCAAATTTGCCAAACTAGGCATTGCTGAAATACAAGACAAATGGATTATGCGAAAACAAGATGCATGGTAACAAATTAATTGGCAAAGTTACCAAATATGCTCATGAACACCGCCCATGAGTGAATGTGACTAGATTTATTAAAGATTATGTTAGGTTTATATCCCACAAAATAAATGAAGGGTTAAAGTTAACTACTTTCTTCAAAAACATAACCAAATAAACACACAGACAAGCTTGATTGCATAAAATACCTCGGGTTATCGTTCAGAATGTTCATGCACTTGCTGTACGAGAAAGGGTGGTGAGCACTAGAACCCATTAGCTGTGAAAACCTTTGCTGCTGAAGAGCTTTGATCCGGACAAGCTCATCCAAAGTGGTGGCGTCAATTTTGCCCGGAGAACCGCCGAAAACGGAAGCAGACCCATCCGCCGCCGAGTCAGTAAAGCCGCCGCCGTTCTTGGCAAGACCCCTCCCGAAGTACATGCAAGGCCTCAAACCGTCTTCTGATCCACCAAGAAAACCGTCGCTCATCGAGAACCGCCGCCTGTGAAGCTGGTGGTGAGGGTCAGGGCTCTCCTCGTACGGGAAAATAAGCGAATCGCTCTTGTTCCCGGTCGGGCTCACTATCTGGTCAAAAGGCTCAAACTGATCAGCGGCCTCCCCATTGTAGTACGGGTGAGGAGAAGAGCTGGGAGTGGCGGAGGACGCCGGAGGAGGGTTTGTGGAACCGTTAACCACGGCGGCGTAGGAGAGGTGGTTTCTGGAAAACGCCGGAGACCCAGAGGGCCAGAGAGACGACGGAGAAGAAGGGAAGCCATTGTTGTTGGGAATCGTGATTCTGGGCGGTGTCTGGGTGAGAGGGCCGAACTTGGTGGTGGGACTGAAGGGGGAAGGCGAAGAAGGCGCAGAATGCGAGGAGGAAGAAGAAGAGTTGGAGGAAAGGCCAAGAAAATCCTTGGCCTGGTTGATGAGAGAAAAGAGGAAAGTATCAGGAACATGGGCCAATCTTATCATCTCCTCATCCCCCTGGTCCTGAATCAGTATGTAACCCATGATTTTCGAAGCGTTATCCGGATCCAAGCTCTGGACCCTGGAGAAGACTATCTTAGTAGCTTCATAAGTGTCCATGGCGGTGGACGGTGGTGGGGAGGAAATGATGGAGTGGAGAAGAGAGCAGAGCACTGTGTGGTGGTGGTGATGGCAGTGAGGAGTAGAGAGTGAGAGAGTATGCGTTGGATGGATTTGCTCTTTTTCTCTTGGGTTTGATGTTTTCTTGAGAGAGAAAAGAGGGCGGAGTTCCGGAGAGGGCAGTTGCATCAGCAGCAGCGCCTCAAATTACTAATCTCTCCTCGAGGAGTTCCACTCCCAATTGGATTCCCGGGGCCGTCTGGAATTTGGTTAGATGAATGAATGCGACCAGATAAATCGAGGCTAATTTCGTGTATTAAATCAATCATTAAACAAATTCCCTACACATAATCGCACATATACATTCATGTATACGTGGAAAGAATTCGTGTTAGGCCGGCATGACGGGTATATCGTCGCAAGACCGTGTTTTGTTCAAAATCCAATGATTCAATTTTTTATTTTTTATTTTTGGATATTTTTTGTTTAATTTATTTTAGTTTCAAATCAGATGAGGCTGAATTAGGGTTGTATACGAACCGAATCGAGTCGAATAATAGGATTTTGTATTTGTATTTGATTAATTTTTTCGAATACGAATTTGAATTCAAATATGAAACGAATATTAATTTCAATTTGTATTTGTATTTGTTTAACCATACGAATAGTTAACGAATCTTATACGAATATCGAATAGATTTGAGCATAGGTTAAATATTAGTCAAATATCACTTTAAAATAAATTTTTTATGTGTGTTTTTAGAATTTAAATTGTACACGATATACTAAAGTGAATCAATTTTATGATTAACAAATATAAACCTATTTCAAACTTTTTGAAAGGAATAGTAACACACATATTAGAAATTATACTTATAATGTGTGAAATAAGTTGATAATTGTATATATCAAAGTCAGACGACTCTAATTTTATTCTCTGAATCGAATACATACTTATTTGTATTATATTTGAAAGACATTTGAACCGAAAATCTAATTTGTATTCGTATTTATAATCTGATTTATTACAAATGGGCTTAGAATAATCTGATTTGTATTCGTATTTATACTCTGTTTTATTACAAATGGACTTAGAATCTATATGCATAAATGTATATATAAACTTCACTTTAGAATATATATTTCTAGTTTTATTACTGTTAACACTATATAGTAGTAGTATTATAGTGTTATTATTAACACTATATGTTATTACTTTTTTTTACACTATATGTTATTACTATTATAGTATTATTATTAATATATTAGGGAAAACTGTCAAATAGGTCCCCGAACTTTCATAAAAAAGTCAATTAAGTCCTTTTATAGAAGGTTCTGTCCGGCCGTCGTGATTTGGGGCAGTTCCCGGTGGAATTTTTTGATGAAATCGTTTGAGCATCTTATTCACCAAGTCTAGTTTACTCATACCAAATTTCAGATAAAAATTCAATCGGGAACACATTCAAATTAATTCTTGAAGATAACTGCGCATTTTTGCGTTCTCGAATTAATTTGAATGTGCTCCCGATTAAATTTTTAGCTGAAATTTGGTATGAGTAAACTAGGCTTGATGATTAAGATGCTCAAAAAAATTCATCAAAAAATTCCACCGGGAACCACTCCAAATCGCGACGACCGGACAAAGTCTTCTATAGAAGGACTTAATTGACTTTTTTATGAAAGTTCGAGGACTTATTTGACAGTTTTCCCTTAATATTATTATTAATATTATCACTATTATTAATCGAATATATTTGATTAATATTTGAATCGAATACACTGATATTCTTATTTGTATTTGATAACAACTCGAATCAAATTTAACATTCATATTTGTATTTGTATTTTCCGAATTTGAATCGTCTTATACGAATTCGAATCGCGAATCGAGCACAAATTATTTGATTCGTTTACAACCCTAGGCTGAATTATACTAGAGATATTTTTACATGGACTGAAAAGGAATGACCGAATGATCCTTTGGGTTTTAGGATTCTCTGCGGTCTGATCTGGTCTTGTCTGAACTGGTCCGGTCTATTTAGTAAATGTCTAGTATCTATATATTTTATAACTATCTGAGTCTGGTCTAATCTGGTATGTGACTGAAAACAGTCTAGCTAAAAACATCCTCTATCATCCGATCATTCAGATGAGATCGAGATAGACCAAGACAATAGTAAAGTAAACGGCCTATAAGATATCAAACTTGGTCTGATTTGATGAGAAAATTTAAGTTGGAGTGAAAAGTCATTTATCATTTTCAGCCATTAAATCTTGAAAATATAATTTTATCAAATTTTACCGCCTTTTAATGGTGAATTCATCTTCATTTTTCATTTGTAGGTTCTACTTTAAAACAAGTTATCTAATGATTGAATCTATACTTGATGCTATGAAGTAATAATGAACTAACCATATATGGACATTAAATTGATTTATAAGAAAAAAAGAATTTGGTCTCACAGAATTTCCATCAAGCTAGTCTAACAAAAATGCTATTTACACATGTTGGTATCAAGAATAAGAAATTTTAAGATGGCGTTTCAAACATACATGGACCACATGGTAAAATTGTTGGTATTGAGAAGTGAGGTATAGCGTTGAGATATTAGTGTTTTAGTATAATACTTGGAGATTATATGAGTGATATAGTATATAGGCTCAGACTCAGGGCTCACATACTTGTGAACATACACAGAACACCCGGAAAACGGCACAACTCGACACTTCGACACACCCAGGTGCCTTGACCCCTGGCACCTCGTCCCTAACAAGAATATCAACCAGACACGAAAGCAAGCTAGCAAATCAACATAAACAACAGTGAGGGCCCTCAACCCTTCATCCACCACTCAACACTTCAACAATTGCCCTGAGGCGCCACACGTCGCATATACAAGCTTACACGTGTACATGCACTTGGTATTTATTATAAGTATAAAAACCCCTTTGGGTAGATGTAAATGAATTGAAAATCATTAATACATCGTATATCTTTCTCTTTATATAATTAGCTCTCTCTTTTCTTTAGATACCACCAACGATGTTCTGGTGAGTTATCATTCGGTGCTTTCATTGAGAAAAAAATACAATAAAGCATATGAGCATTATCCTTGTGTGTGTGTATTATTCATTATTCATTTGTAATTTGATATCATCACCACGTTGTACCGAACTTAGTGATACGAGTTAATATGTTTTATTCCCGGTATAGGAGTCATACGCTCCTATTCAGAGTTTTTATATTTTCTGCAATGTCTAAAATGATCTTGTGTGCATCCATGATCTCCGTCTCTAGTGTCGACCTTTTTTTTCTGCGCATCATCTTCTCGTGTAACTCTAAAATCAATCATCTTCTCTTGCACCTCCAACATCGATCCTTCAATTCTACTCTACGATGTACAGTCCAAAACTCCAGGTTGTTCTACTACTCTCCTTCAATTCTCTGCCACTCTTCACTTTCCTCTCTTCATCTTCACATCAGAACATTATCTCCCAGGTATTCCTTCACATGTTCTTCCTCATCTGATATCTTCTTCCTCCTCCGTTTTGTAAAAAAATGACATGTCTATTCTCAAAATGTCATGAAAGAAGTCATTTACATATGTAAAAACATGGCAGTCATTGAAAATGTCAAGCATGTGTCATTTTTACTCTTTGAAATTGTCATACTTTGCCCTGAAAATGTAATGAAGATGTAAAATAAAAATGGTCGTTTTGATAAATGTAATGTCAAGGCCGTGACATTTATATCAAATCAGTGCACAATTATGGCATTTTCAGGTCCAAATGGGGAGAAAAGTATTATGAATTAGATGAAATTTATAAAAATTAAAAATTAAAATGAGAAGAAACAGATGAACATTGGAAGAAAGAAAATAAAGAAGCTTGAAGAGGAGGAGGAGGAGGAGCTTATCTGAGAAAGTAGAAGAGGCACCTTCATTGTCATTCATGGTCATCGCAGCCACCATGTAGGGTGAGCTTTGCAGAGACATCATTCGTTGTCATTCACGGTCATCGTAGCCACCATGTAGGGCAAGCTTTGCAGAGGCATCCTTCAGCGCAAGCTTCGAAAGTCGCAAATGGTAAAAGAGTAGTATTGTAGGGCAATTTTGCAATTCCATCTATATTTTAGTCCTACTCTATTGCACTGAAAAGCGATAGTCCTATAATGAAACGTTTCATATGTTTTAGTCCTATTTAGGTAAATCTTTATAGAATAAAATACTCCATTACTGGTAATACAAACCCATTAAACAAAACAGATTTAAATAATTCATGCTCTTGTTTCTTTCATTACATGAAATCCTTCCTGCCTTACTTTTTCATGTTTCTATCCACACTTTATAGATGTAAAATCAACTACATAAGGGAAATATTTGGTTTATCCAAATTTATATTATATTAATAAATTGACACACTGTTTATTAAAATAGTAGTTATATATTTTTCGTTTGTTTCTATACTTTTTGGGAATAAGGATGACTTATATTGATATCGATCACGACATTCAGATATGGAACAAATAGATAAAAGGACCACTCTCAACCGCCAGCCCTCGAACTAGACTTAAATTCAATCACCTTCCAAAAAGCAATATGACTCGTTAATCTTGTAATGGGCATAATTGAGCCAAAAGCGATCAAAAGAGACCTCTCATCACCCAATCCTAATGCAAGAGTCCATCAAAACAAAAAATAGAACGCGAGAACAAACATAGCCTGACCAAAAGAAAAAACAACATTATTAAAACTGAGATGCATCCCCATAACCAAGAGGGGCTCCCGCTATCCTTCCTTACCATAAAGCTTCCTGACACGGAGGTGGTTCCGGAAGAGGACGAGTTGCTGCTGCATGGGTGAAGGCAAACTTCCTCTTCCAAAGCCCGTTTCTGATAAGGAGAATTTCAACCCCTGCACCATCAATCGCATCTTTGCTCACCATACCCTTCTCTTTTTCCTCCATAATCAACCTGTAGTACTGCTCCTCAAACTTCTCCATTGAAATCACCAAGGTCGAATTGACTACCGGTTGCAGGCATTAAACCCCACCAGAAAAATAAACCCTAGAAAACCCTAAGGAACAACCGCTGCTCAAAGCTACAATCCTCTGGCCACAAAAACTGAAAAGAAAATTCGAAAGTACAAAAAAAACTCAATTACCGCAGCCTAGGCCTAGAGACATGCCGAGTGAGAGAGTGCTGATGCACCGAAGAGGGAGCGTTGATGCACTTCGCCATAGGCCTAGAGGGAGCGTTAATGTTTCTTTACTTTTTATGTATTTCTATTTATCGTGGTCTCTATTGAGGTTTATT